TTAGGGATAAGCTCGAGGTCTCGTTTACAAAAGAGCATCGCGCACGGGCTCCCCCCGCCGCGGGCCATCTCGCGCGCGGGCCGCGTCCACGCGGGCCACGCGTAAATGGGCCGCACATCTAAAATCGTTTTTCTTTTTCTTAGGAATTGGTTAATGCTTTTCTAATTTAATTTTTGAGCTAAACTTGTAGAGTTAATATAAAATTGTATCGGTGTTCAAAAATTATGAAACTAATTTTGTTAGGTTTCTAAAATCATGATCTACCTGTTAATATATCTTATTCACATAGTTTCATAGTATTTTCAGGAGTTATCTAATTGAATTGAGATGCTTAATATTGTTAAGATATAAACTTGTAGGAATTTTTGTAATAAATTGGTAATAGTGTTGGCTCTAAAAATTTAACAGTAAATTCTTAATATTATTAGGTGCTCACTATAATTTTTGTAGCTCCATAATAAGTGGCTTGCTAAGATAGCTAAGGAGCCCTAGTTTGAATATATATATATATTAAATCAATGAAATAAAGAAACACCTTAAAAGTCTAAAGCTAAAACACTCGTTGGGAAATAACACCTTATTCGACAATATGGATATATGACCTAGTACGTTAGTCATTAGAGCTAGCTCATTAGTGTGAGAGGCGTAAACGTATTTTAAGAGTTGCGGTTGTCGTTGATTAATTACGTCTCTGCGTTGCATCCACATATATCATAATAGGAATAATGATGGATCATGGAGTCGACCGGAGAAGCAGAAAAGATGGTGCATTGATGATCGTGCCACCACGATGGAATGCTAACTTTTGATTATATCTTACCTAGACAAGCCCCGGTGCGTAACCCCTATTATTCTACACTTTATTTTATGCTTGTGCATTAAGTTTTAAGGAGTTGAATGAAATCCACTTGCATACATATATGCTTATCCTATGAGTCTTACTAGTATGGTAGGATCGTGTAGCTGCTATGCTATAGGATCCCGGTAGAAGTCGAGTGATTACCTATCACTCGTGAGAGATAGGAAAGATATTATTATTGTTATTATCATATTACTATCACATGAAATATATATGGATGATAATTGGAAACCGGGCGGGATTGTACATTGGATTTGGACTTGGTTAGGCATCTGAGCGAGGCTCCAGTTGCATTTGTCCCGTCTGAGTCGATTGAGGACCGTCCGTTGCCGTGGATGGTAGTCATATCACAGACTTATTATCCTGAGTACATACTTACTTATGGGAGCGGGAAGACTTGTTACTCTCTTGTCATGGGTTCCGGCTCTTTTTGGACCGACTTTTAGGGGTGGGTACTAGGTGGAGGTCTAAGCACCATACTAAGACCGGGTCTTAGGTGTTGGGGGCTTGGAGTCCAAGTTTGGACGAGGACCTAGACCCTGTGATAGGAGTGGAACGGGTTGGTCTTGTTTGTGCCTGGGGCACAAGCGAGGCGTGTGTTTTGGGGTACCTAGCTGGGATACATTGACTCACAAATCGCCGTTTCTTTTGAGATGGTACTGACTTGACTAGGGTCTAGCACCATAGTAAGAACTGGAATATGTAAGATGGTAAAATGATTCTGATTGCTTACCACATGCTTGAAAGTAGCTTAGGTGCTTACTTAGAATGATTAACTAATTAACTAAAAATAACTGCTAAAAACTTTGAACATAAGGATGCACCATTAGTAATGCTTTCTGCAAATCTAATAAACCAACAAGCCAAATAAGCCTTGCATATCGTTGGAGTCTTTTATTTTTCTCCTGTTGGGTAAGTCTTGCTGAGTACAATCGAGTACTCAGGGTTTTATTCTCCCTGTTGCAGGTGGTAGGTGAATACTAGAGCTAACTCTTGTGTGTGGAAACCTTCTTGTGGGCTCAGAGAGGATTTCTTTCACGCTGCGATCATTGTGTTTATTTATTACCCTACTAAAGATTTTCATAAGAAAAGATGTAAAAATCTGCTAGCATATCTTGTATAGAAATGTCCACTACGTTAATGCTTCACCATGTCATTAGGTAAATCTTGGTTTCTGCTGTAACTCTGATCATATGTTTAATTTCTGTTGTTGCATTCAACTTGTTTAAGTACTCTAATGTTGTAATAAAGTGATGTAAGAAATGACTAAGAATGTTGTAAGCTTTATCCTCTCATTTATGATCCTGATGAAAGATGTGGATTTTTTAGTTCTCCCGTTAGGTGTGATCGACAGAACAATCTAAATTAGTGTGCTCCCCTGGTTACTTGGTGTCTAATGGTAGACAGCTACTCTTGGGAGGGCATTACCTCAGGCGGTTCTGCCACACTAACCAAACTAACAAGACACAAGCTAACTCCCAAAACTAATTACACTAAAGAGCTTAGCTACACTAGAAAAGTAAATACAAGGAGGTAGTGATGTTTATACCGTCGTGGCAAGAGATATATAATCAATCACAATGAGAATCCCAGAGACAATGATGACACAATGATTTATCCCTGAGGTTCACTTGCTTGCCGGCAAGCTACGTCCTCGTTGTAGTGATTCCCCCACTTGGAAGTTCCCACGCTAATAGGCATTACACGCCTAACCCGTAATCGGGTGCCGCACAACCAACACAAGATGGGGATCCACAAGCTACGAGCAATCCACTAGAGTACGTTTTGGCTCTCCCCTGACGAAAGGTCAAGAACCCCTTACAATCACCACGATCAGAGCCGAAGACAATCACCTTCCTCCGCTCGATGATCCTCGCTGCACCAAGCCGTCTAGGTGGCGGCAACCACCAAGAGTAACAAGATAAATCCGTAGCGAAATAGAAACACCAAGTGTCTCTAGATGCAATCACTCAAAGCAATGCACTCAGATGCTCTACAATCTCACCAAATGATGAGTCAATCAAGTAGGATGAGTGAGAGAGCATTGGCTAGACTCACTAGGTTGTGTTCTCAATAAAAATGGCCAAGAGAATGAGCCAAGACCCGTAACCACGTTTATATAGGGAGCCCCAACTAATAGAGCCGTTGGCCCACTCACTGGGTAGATTTCGGGGCGACCAGACGCGCCGGTCGATTTGACTAGACGCACGCTCACTAGCGTCCGGTCGCTGGATTTCTACCACGCATCTGCGCTTTAAATCTGTGCCGCCCGATGTCAACGGTCGACTCCACTCGCGCACACGAGTTAAGTCACGACCGGACGCACCACAGCGAGACCTGACGCGCCCGAGCCGCGTCCGCTTGCACGCGCGCCCGCGACGCCAAGCCACTGACCTGGCGCTTAAGAGATGACCGAATGCTCCCTCGCTTTGAGTCCGATCGAGTACAGAAACTATGCAGAGAGGTTTTTCCATGACCTGATGCGTTCGGTCAACGGTGACCAGACTCGGTCAACGTCTAATCTCTCTCTTTCTCAACTCTGTGCGCCACGTCACAAGGACCGGACGCAGGAACAGTGTTCCAGCAGCGTTCGGTCAGGAGCCTCCACCAGTGTCTGGTCAGGACCCGAGGCCGCACCCCTTCTAAACCACTGACCAGACCCGCATGTCCAGCGTCTGATCCTGCATTCGATCACCAGAAACATGGCCTCCTCAACTTCAACTTCTTCACCCTTTGTCAAATGTGTTAACCACCAAGTGTAACACCTTGTGCACGTGTGTTAGCAATTTTTCACAAACATTTTCAAAGGTGTTAGCACTCACTAGAATTTAAATGCATATGCAATTATTTAGAACATTTAGTGGCACTTTGATAACCGTATTTCACGATGAGTTTCACCCCTCTTAACAGTAATGCTATATATCTTAAAGTGATCACACTCGCTAAGTGTCTTGATCACAAAAACAAAAAGACCCTATCAAATATACCTTTGCCTTGAGTCATTTTATTTTTCTCTTTCTTCTTTTCCAAGTCCGGAGCTAGATCATCATCACATGTCCAACACCATCACCTTAGACTTTAATTGCTCCACCACTTGGATTAGTACTAACATATCTCATGATCACTTAGAGAAAAAAAAACACACATAGGGTACTCACGTTGCTACTTATCCCCGATTCCCATCTTACTTGTATCTGATTGCTGCATCTTCTTAGGGAACAAGTGGTTGAGGTTGCTAACCATTGGCACTAGAGTGTTCGGCTGGTATTGAATTTCTACTATAGCAGTTGAAAATACTGTTTATACTGGAATTTTATAAGGAAAAAACACTGCTCCAGCTCGAGGGGGAAAAAAAGACAGCCAGCCGAAGCCGGCCAGCCGAACACGGGCTTTTGCATGAATCCCCTACTGAGATCTCTCCTACCCCACTCCTTCTCGACGAAATCCGCAAGCTCTTCGACGAGTTCAACAGGAAGCTCGACGAGAGCGAGGCTCGGTGGGAGCAGCGCGACTCTGAGTCCCGAGCCGCACGGGCGCAGCAGGTCGCCGCCGTCGAGCCCCGCGTCGACATTCCCAAGCGAAACCCTGCGGCACAGTTCGATGCCGTGGTGGTCGCCGACAACTGGGGTGCGTTGTTCGAGCAACCCGTCGACTTCCTGGAGGTGCGCGACCTTGATCTCTCTGATGCACCGGTGGTTGCTGACAACTGGGGCGGGCTCTTCGATGGGGCAACTACTTCTCCACCTGCTCCTCCTCCGTCTCGGTCACGCCCGCACCTTCCGCCGCCACCTCGGTCGCCCAACGCACCACGGAGTTCAAGTAGGTCGCGTAGCAGGAGGCTGAGCGCTCTAGGGTCCTCTTCGCGCACGTCGAGCAGGAGAGGCGCGCCACCGGGCCGTTCCTCCAGGAGAGCACAACAGGGGACGCCGCGGACCCCGCACGGCTTGACTCGTCCTCCCTCGCGCCGCTGTAGCCGTAGGATAACGAGGCGGGAGCGTTCGAGTCAGAGGCCGCGGCTCCTCCTTCCGTCGTCGACGAGCCGTACCGCGATGCAGCTGCGGGGGTGGAATCCTCGAGCACGAGCGTCGACCTCGGCCGTCAGCAAGTCGCCAAGGTGCTTACGCCGCTGGAGTACCACGAGATGGCCCCGGCAGCCACGCGCCTCGGCGTCATGGCGTCCGAAGCGACATGGCCCGGAGCACTCACCGTCTTCGCCGACCCCTCCGCGTACATCCTCGCCGTCAAGCCATCACAGCTCTCCGTGTCTGGTGTCATCGGGCACGCCGTCACCATCAGCTACATCCCTAAGCCGCACCACTCCGTCCTCGACTTCGCCTACACCGAGCTCGCCACCGCAGCCACCGAGAAGCTCTTCCAGTCGGCATCTACCGGCTTCTACATTGATGTCGCCCCCAGCAATACTGCTGACTACGTGCCCACCAAGTGTTCGATGTATTGCCGCAGTGGTTTCACTTCCATGCTGACCACAGCACTGAGCAGTTCTACTCCAACCTGGGTGTCCGCCGCGGTCATCAACAGCTTTGACAAGCGACCATGGCCACCACCATCTCAAGCTCAAGTGCATGTGTGGTGGTGGCCAAGGAGGCTTTGACCATATGACATCCGGCTCAGCGTCAAGAAGATTACCAACCGCTAGTCTGTGCATACCTTTTTCACAGTTGAGTTTGAGTGTGACAATGATGATATACGTTCATTCCCATGGTCATCTTTCACCACAGTCGTTCCTGAGCTTGCTATTTGGAAGTGTTACACTTTGCCCAGGAAGCCTCCATGGTCACCTCCAGCTCATCAATATTTTAGAACTGTGCATGCTGAAACTGTGGAAAGTTGGAAACACAAGACAGTGATAACAGAGTGGAGTCCCCATGTGCTCATTCAGGAACAAATGCAACAAAAGTGTGGTGGTACTTTTGGACTTGCTTGGCATAAGGATAGATTAATGGTGCCCAAGTGGCTTGCTGACATAGTGGTGACATTTCTACTGTTATATGTGCGCGAGGAGAGCAGGTACCTCGTCACATTTTTTGCTACTCATTTGATTGATGTTCAGATGCTGGACTGTGTCACCTGTGTTCCTCCCGATGAGAATGAATTGGAGGTCTGGATTATTCAGTTGCAGCAACCATGGCCTCTGCTTGCTGTTCTTCCACTCTGGCCAACAACCTGCCCTTCCTTTGGTTGTCGTACAATGATGCAGCTACTGGATGTTTCTCTAGCGCAGGCGTCCAATTCAGATGGGCTGGGTGGAATGTTTGGGACAGTCGTTGTTGGGCTCCTGCAGAGATCATCACGGTCCCTTGTTTCTTGTCGATTGGAAGTCTCCTTTGCTGTTTGCATGATTGGGCTGTTCTGGCAATCAAGTGTATCCTTCATATGCTCTCAGTTTGCACTTGTTGCTTCCTTGAAATCAGTGGGATGGCAGGTGTTTGACCGAGGAAGATGCTGGAGTTTGGCATCAACTCAAGGCTGGATTGACACCAAATTATTATGGTTGGAGCTCAGAGTTGAGCAGCACATGTGCATTGGCCACGGACGATCATACAAGTTTAGCTCCATTTGCTCTGTCCTGATTGATGCAAGTTTGATTGGGTCAAGCACTGACGTCCAGACTGAGGCACATGTAGATGATAATTCCCTTGACATTTCCCTGGTGTACCACACTGAAACCTTAGAAATTTGCTGGTGGATGAGTGAGCCAAGGAGTGATGTCATGCTGGTTCAGGAACATGACACAAGGGCATGTAAGTCAAGTCAGCCCGTTCCTTCATGGATATTTTTGTGGCAGTCTCACATAGATCACTGCAATGTTGTTCTCATATACATTATTGACAACATAGAGACAGTAAACATGCAGCTGCCGCAAATTTCCAATAATAGTTTTGTGCTACTAATGCTTGTTGGAGCTGTTCTTGGCCAGATGCTACTGCTACATGGGTCAGCAAAGCAGCCTGAACAAATTCAGTTTTGGGTTCCTTCAGTGCAAATCTACCGAATTCACAAAGTTGTGTTCTTCAAGCTGTCAACATGAAGTTGAACATGAAACAAGTTGCTGCTGCTATCCATCCTTACTAGAGCCATGGCTGACGACACAAATCTTAACCAAGATATGTTGTTGATCAATAACCTCACGACTATGTTGTCGCTCTCCAAGACATATCATTTGCCATGGGATCTAGGTGGTGCCGAGCTTGTTGTGTGCCTTGTTCAGTGGCAGTGTAGTGTTCTCGTTCATCTTCATCACTCATCACGCCGGGGGATATCCGCAACAACTATGGACGTCTACGCAGCGTGGCTTGGGGGCAAGCCGCTTTTAAAAAGGAGAGGGGAACGTCCGGGATGGGCCGTCATATGGGCCCTGGGCCTTGGCCTGGATCGCTGTACGCCACCTACAAGAGCGCAGGAGCACCTGATCGAACAAATTATCTGAAACAGAATCTCTCTCCCTCATGCTACTGTTCATCTTCCTCCTCAAGCTTCTCCGTCTTGTACCCAGATTTCCTACTTATAGGTCTTCTAGATTCTTCTAGTACTTTCCTCTAGCATCTTATTCCCCTGCTTGCTACTTATCCCCAATTCACATCTTACATGTATCTGATTGCTGGAGCTTGTTAGTGAACAAGTGGTTGAGGTTGCCAACACAATTGACATGACCAGAAGTAAAAAAAAAAAAAAACGCTCCAGTAATGAACAAAATGTCACATTGGGCTTTCTCATAGCGCATGCTACCCATTACCCATAGGCCACAGGCCACAGGCCACAGCATGGGCTTCTCACGGCTGTGAGTTATCGCAACAGCCCAAGATTTGGGAAATCATATCTAACCCAAACAGGGCCCTTTGTTCGTACGCTTTTTGGGAGAAGACAAGGGCGAAGTTTGCAGGAGGTTCGGTTCGCAGCAGCCCAAGCGGCTCAGCTCCTCGCTCGGCCTTACTCCAGTGGCACGGGAAAAAAAATTCAGTACGGACCATCCTATGGAAACACGGTGAGGATGTGTGACTGACGTGTGGCTCATAGGTATCTCATTTACCATCGCATGCTAAGAATGGTATGGTGGCCCATCTACCAGCTGCACAATTCGCACGACGTCTTGGTAGGGATGGTCCTCACCTATTTTTTTTCCATGGCACGCAACCACGCACTGGTCACGCCGATCACAGCTGGCACGGTCACGCCAACCTCCAGCGCTCGCCGGCGCGAACCACCGCCGCCGTCGTCCGGTGGCATGAATGCTGAAGTGACTTTCGGTTCCGACTTCCGAGCCACTACCTAGCCGGCTAGCCACCAGCTAGCGCCCTAGCCTAGCGTAGCCACGGACCGACCGACGTGAGGACCAGGTGCGAGTGAGAGGAACCTTCAGATGCGTGCGGTTATTGAAGGCGGAGTAGGGGCAAGGCACATGCCGCGGATGCATCCAACACCATGGTGTTTCCAGGCCGGCCCCTGGCGTCCAGCTAGGACACCGGTACGAGACAGTACGTCCACGTCAGGCTCACACGCATCAGCACAGCTGGGCATGCAGATGAACATGAACTCCAGCGGCCGGGCGGCCGGCCCAGGACTTGAATTGAACAGGAGGACTGGGGGCCGACCGTACCTCGCACAGGTGCCCTGTCCCCATCCTCAGTGAAACTAGAACAAGCCAACTTCCCAAGCGTAGCCGAGCGAAACCAGAGCATGTGACTGCGGTTCTTGTTCTTGGCAGCAAATCCAATCTGACACATTCCGATTCCGCTCTGAAAACCAAGCACCGAACGCACGCACGGTCGGGTCAATCATTCTGGAATCATTTCTCCGGCTCTCGTGCAGCGAGTCTTTGACAGGGCATGCATGTCAAACTTGCACGCAGCAAAGCAAAGCACAGCTGGTAGTAAAAGAACTCGAGAAGAAGAGATGGATCGGAGCACGTAGGATTGCAGTTTCAGAGGCCTGATGAAGGCTTACGAGGGCTTGTTTACTTACTCCTCCTAAAGTTGAGTCCTTATAATATTAGATGTTTAACACATGTATGGAGTATTAAATATATATAAAAAATAACTAACTATACAGATTACGACTAATTTATTAGACGATTTTTTAAGACTAATTAGCCTATGATTTGATAATGTTGTGCTACAGTAACTACAGTAACATGTGCTAGCGCCGGATTAGTTAGACTTAATAAATTCGTCTCGTAGATTACTGATGACTTTTGTAAATTATTTTATTATTACTATCCGAACCCTCCCATATAACTCTCGATATGATACTTGATGTGATACCATTAAATTTTAGCCTCTAGATTTAAACACACTATGACAATCATAACGAATAAAGGATAGGAAGGAAGGACGAGCTGACATGTCAATGGATCGTCGTCGCTCGCACACACAGCCCACGTTTCGCAATGTGTCCGGCCGCGGACGGATGCGTGAATGATTGACACGGACACGCCCACACTTGCAATAATGCTGCCGCATCTCCAGTCCCCAGTAGTATTAAAAAATGATTCTGACAGCCGAAAGCGCGCGAGGTGCTGCTGGCTGACCTGCACCTGTATATGGCCATGCAGGCCGAGCCTGTCGACCCGATCCAAGACCCATTTTTTTTGTTCGGGCCAAGCACGGCCTGACCCGACAGCTAGTGGGCCTGGGCTGGCATAGCCCGAAGGAGCAGGTCATGTCTGGGCCTTACCCTAGACACGTGGGCCGGCACGGCACGGCTTGCTATAGAACCGGAGGCCCACTGGCGGCCTCGGCTAGCCGGCCCGCTAAGAGCCCTAGCCGGCTCGGCCAGCCCCTACCTCTCTCCCTACCTCTCAGATGCGGCGCCCTCTCTCCCTCACGCGCCGTCGCTCTCCCTCATGCACCGTCGATCTCTCCCTCCTCCACTCTCTCTCCCTTCGGCCCTCCCTCCACTCTCTCCCGGCGAAACAATGGCGCCCCTCTCCCTCCATCTCGCGCGGGCCCTGCAGCGGCGCTCCGTGGTGGAGCTCGCGTGGCCCCCCGCGGCGAAGCTCATGCGGCCCCTGCAGCGGCGCTCTCACGAGGAGGCGGCGGGATCCAGCGCCCCCCTGCAGCGGTGATGCTCCCTTGCAGGCGGCCGGCAAGATCCGGCCTAAGGATGTGGCGGCACGGAGCAGGGCGACTCTCCTCCGGCGCGGACGTCTCCGGGCAGGGTCGGCGCGGATCTCCTCCTCCGTGGCGGATCCGCTCCCCGCGTCTTCCCTCCCTCCCTTCTCCGGCGGATCCAGTGAACCGCGGCGGCGGATCCGGCACCGGTGCAACGGATCCGACGATTGGCGAGCGCGCTGGCTTCCTCCGGATCCGGCGTCGACCCCCTACACCTCTCGAGCGGCGTAGCCTTCCCTCTCTCTCTCTCTCTCGGTAGCCAGTGGGCCTCGGGCTGGCACGGCTTGTGAAATTGGCCGTGCTTCTCGGGCTGGGCCGGCACGGAAATCGGCCCATAGTGCCGTGCCTGGGCCGGAGGCCAGGCCCGTGGCCTTGTGAGGCACGGCCCGGGAGGCACGTCGTGTCGTGCCGGCCTGATCGCCATCGGGCCGTGCTTTCACGGGCCCGTGCCGTGCCGTGCTGAGCCGGCCCGTTGGTCATCTATACCTGCACCTGCCCACGCCCATGTTCGCGGCCACCCGCTTCACGTGGCCGGCAGCTCCCCGCGGCTGACCGGAGCGTTGAGCTGGTCCTCGCGGTCGTTGCCCGCTGCCCTCCCTCGTCGCATCCGGCGTTGCCATTCCCAGGCAGGTAGGTCAGGTGGGTGCTCACCGTGGATCGATCACGCCAAACTATACGTTTCGACGATGATGCAAATTGCAAATGCAATGTATGTACACTGCGCCCCGTCTGATGCCAGTGTACTACGTGCGTTGCTTGCAGTTGCGGTGAGCGAGCGAGGCAGGCATGGGGAAGGCGGGGCGCTGGCTCCGGAGCTTCCTGTCGGGCAAGAAGGACAGGCCGCCGCAGCAGGCCGTGGATCCGCCGGCGGCCCCCAAGGACAAGCGGTGGAGCTTCAGGCGCCCCCCGACGCCGCAGGAAGGTAGGGCCGCCGAGGCGGCGGGGCGCGGCGGGCCGCCGGACCAGGACCAGCACCAGGGGCCACTTGGTTTCCCGGCGCCGGGCGTCGAGTTCGACCAGAAAAGGCACGCCGTGGCGGTGGCGGTGGCCGCGGCGCACGCCGCCGCCGCCGTGGCGCGCCTGTCGTCCCGCGGGGCGCCGCGCATGGCACTGCCGCCGTGCCTCGTCGAGGACGCCGCCGCCGTCAGGATCCAGGCCACCTTCAGAGGCTATCTGGTACTCCTACCATGCATGCATTCCTTGCTTGTTTCAGAAAAGAAAAGATTGCAGTTTTTTTTGGGATAATAACGCGACACCACCGACTCGTCTGGCGTGGCAGGCGCGGACGGCTCTGTGCGCGTTGAGGGGCATCGTGAAGCTGCAAGCTCTGGTGCGGGGGCAGCTGGTGAGGAAGCAGGCCAACGCCACGCTCCGCTGCATGCAGGCGCTCCTCGCGGCGCAGTCCCACCTGCGGGCGCAGCGCATGCTCGCCCTCCAGCACCATGACCACCACCACCCGACGCCGCCCAGGCCACGGCAGTCGCCGCAGCACCCGAGGCACCGCCGCTCCTACGTAAGCAACGACCATGCAACTGCATTGACCGATCAATTGATACATCCATCCATCCGCGGCGGCAGCGACTAAATCTCGTTTGTCTGATCCGCTCCTGTATGTGTCCTGATGTCAACGACGGAGCAGGAGATGGACAGGTCGTGCGAGGAGAACGCCAAGATCGTGGAGGTGGACGTCGGCGAGCAGCCGGTGCGGCGGAGCGCGGGGAAGGACAGGCAGCTCTTCGCCGCCGACCACCACGCCGGCCGGTCCTCCCCTGCGCCGTCGGCGGTGACGGGGCTGATGAGCCCGCAGGCGTACAGCGGCCACTTCGACGAGCTCTCGGTGGCCACGGCGCGGAGCAGCCCGCGGCATCAGGCGTCGGAGGCGTGCCCGGGCTACATGGCCAACACGGAGTCGTTCCGCGCCAAGGCGCGGTCCCAGAGCGCGCCCCGCCAGCGCACCGACGCGCTGGAGCGGCTGCCCAGTCGGAGGAAAGGGACGCCGCCCAGGGCCGCCAAGATGGAGCGCTCGTCGTCGCTGGCCGGCGCGGCGCCGCGCGGGGCCGGCCACTACTCGTCCCCGTGGTCATCGGGCGCCAGGCTCGACGTCTCCACCGCGTCGCTCAAGGACAGCGAGTGCGGCTCCACCAGCTCCGTGCTCACCGCCGCCACCGTCTACAGCCGGACGCGGTCGCTCGTCGGCTTTGAGGTGTGACAGTGAGAGAAAAAATAAAAATAAAGGCGCTCGACATGATCGTACTGGCTTGCTGTGACATGATCGTGACAGCTGACAGAGTCCTTGTCTCCTCTGTTGCTGCTCCCGGTGCGCCGTGCCCTGTACTGAGGAGTTCGTGTTCCTGACGACCCGGCGTACGCCATGAATGGATGCTGCTAGCTTCTGTTCTTCGAATGACCCGGGATTCTTCGTCGGGAGCTTCAAAGAAATGAAATTCTTGTGATCAGTTCGTGTGCAGTGCAGTACGCCAGTTCATACTACATAGTCGCGTTTGAAACTGTACATTTTTGTAGCCCACTTGTGATCGTTTGCAGGTATTGGGTACTAGTATAAACGTATACATGTACACAAAATGTAATAAGGTTTGCTTGCAAACCCTCGTGGAGCAATGTTTAGCTGCGAAGAAGCAGCAGTTTATACCGTTGTTAATGTGGTCGTTTGTAATGTAATAGCCACGCACAATTGACTGACCGCGTTGCATTGAGTAGAAAACATATTAGACTTTTCATCTTAAAGAAAGAAAACTAAAATGTTTTTGGGATAAAAATGGAAGAAAAAAAGAGCACCAAAGATTTATGATATTAAATTAGTATCACTAAATACACCATAAACTATAATATGTTCATTTGATGTCACAAATATTTGTATTTTTTGCTATATATTTAGTGAAACATAAAAAGTTTGAATAGAAATTTATTTATTCAGTGACGCATAAAGTAACTTGTAGTACTCCCTTGCACATCGGAATTAATTTGCGGTGCAAAGCAAAGCCAAACCAAACATTTATTCCCTATATATCATGAATGCAAGCGAACGCTCTGCCCAGAGTTCAAACCCCCACGGGGGCGGATTTGTTGGCAAGAGGAGGCGTAGTTTATCTGCACGTCGAAAAAAAACCCTCGTCTATCCCACGCTAAACCACAGGTCTAACGCCAGTCCAGTCTCACGGAGTTGCGGTGCCGCTGTGTATGGCTGGGGTAGAGGTTCAGGGATTTTCTCGACCTGTGTGAGAATATCTTTTTCTTGAGCACAGTGTCTGGGGCTGTCTTACCTCCACGGGTCGAGTTTATATATATATTTACGATAGTTGAGTTACTATAACACATGAGGATATTTACCATAACGTTGTAGTAAACCACTTAGTAAGGAATTACTATAATCTCGAAAGTTAACATAGTAATTATCGTAACTCAAAGTGACTATAGAATAAGTTATTTTGTAGCCAGCTACATACACACACTCATGAATCATTGGGAGTTAAACATGATTAAAAGTTGTGGTTCGCAATGATCCTAGTCAAAACCTCTTGCACCTTCTGGATCATGAGAAACCACCGCCGGAAAGAAATGCATACATAGAACCTGGGGTCTGGTTAGTGGGCCCAAGAGCAAGTATAGTAAATGGTTGTAAGTATATTATGTGCTGATGAGAAGAGGAGAGATGAGAGGAGAAAGGAAGTATAGTAAAGGGTTGTAAGTATATTATGTGCTGACAAGGAGAGGAGAGATGAGAGCAAAAAGGAGAAGTGGGCTATAAATTTATAGCTCACTTAAATATAAGAATTAGAAAACTTTATGAGAGAGGCAAGTGAACTGAATATTAATAATTAAGAGCTAACTACTATATTAGTGGATTGAGAGATGGGCTACAAAGATTCATACTGTCAACAGCAGGCTATATTATTGGCCTTGCACTAAAGCATGTGTGCAGTATAAGTCTTTCATGACCGATACGGCGACAAAAATTGTGTTCACACATTCGTTTTCGTCTGGGACTATCCAGTCCGGCCAATAAATATACTAGTCCATTCCTTAAAATATATATATATATATATATATATATATATATATATATATATATATATATATATATATATATATACTACTCCATAAAGAGCAACCACTGCTAGTGCTAAGTAGGCCAACGACTATCAGCCTGTTCGGAAGGTCGTATCGTATTGTGGATTATTTATTACTTGGTTGGTTTGGTGTGAGAGAAAAACACTGTTTCCGGCTTTGTAAGAAGGCATTGAGCCACCATGCGAGGTCGAGATCGGCTGGCAGCACAGTTCATACCATACATGGCCTTCTAAGTTCCAAGCCTCCATTATCAGGTGTGCTTTGTCTATCCACCATCCAGAATCTCTTATGCTCGCTGCTCTGTTGCTGCCTCCCGAAATCGTGCAGATGCTCCGGCACCGACCAGGATCAGCTAGGAAACCTCGCCCTGAAGTCCTGAACTATTCAGTCCATAAACTTCCTGGCTACCTGTTCACGAGGAATAATTTTGGCATGGAGGTGGAGGTGCATATGCCCCAGCGCCACTGGATAATGCCAGCTGTTGCTCCATCCCGCCCAGGCCCAACGCTACTAATTTGGCCCCGTTCGGCTTATCACATATCCGATTTGTTCGGCTTCTTTTTTTAGCTGAAATAATGTTTTTCTCTCACAATATTTCCGTCGGAACAGTGTTTTTCAGCCAATTTCAGCCAAAATTCAGGTCGCAACGTTGCCGGTGGCCACGTCTCTGCCGAAATCAGTGCACCTTTTTTTTTAAAAAAAACCAACGAACAGGAGTATGCCGGTAAGAGTGGGCAAAATACCCAATACTCGAACCCGAACCCAAAGTACCCATATCCGAATTACCCAATCACAATTTCGGATAATAACTCTAGGTACCCGAATTTAGTTCAGGTATTTCAGGTAACAAGTCCCTATACCCGAATTACCCATTTATACCCGAATTTATTAAACTAAAAGGTTTAGAATTAGAGAGCAGAAGAGCCACGGCCCAGCCCACGTAGCTTTAAGACTATCCCTCGACTCAACCATTCGCAGACTCACCCGAGCACAACCCCCTCGAGACCTAGCGCCTCCCTCTCCCGACGCCGCCACATCCCAACTGACGCGATTGGCGACGCTGCCCACACCCTCCGCCCTCCACGGCGTGCTGCTATCCTGGCTCACCCAGCGACGCCGCCCTCCACCGCAGCCGCACGCCGCAATCCGAAGCACCCAGGCTCCTTCCAGCTTCCCTCTCACTCGTCTTCTCTCCGATGTCTATCGGCGCTCAAAAAATCTCCGTAGCAAGGCGAATGGGAGGGGTGAGTTGGTGGCCGGATGGTGTGTGTGATCGTGTGTCCCTGTAGTGCTGACTTTTATTTCATTCATTTGTTTTACGTGAGCTCAAATTGGTTCGTTGGAATTTTACTAGTGTCTTCTAGATCTTCTTTTTTTATTTCTCATTTTTTGCTTTAATCGGTTAAATTGGGATTACCCGAACCCGAAGTTTTGGGTACCCGAAAATTCAGCAGAGATAATTTCGGGTAAAATTCGGATAGCAATTTTTAAAACCCGAAATTCTCAAAACCCGAATTACCAGATCCGGATTTTTCGGGTAACCCAAATGACTAGGGGCCTGTTTAGTTCACCCAAATTCCAGAATTTGGCACTATGCAAAAAGAAGATTCCCCATCACATCAAACTTGTGGTACATGCATGGAGTACTAAATGTTGACGAAATCAAAAACTAATTACACAGTTTGGTTGTACTTTACGAGATAAACGTTTTGAGCCTAATTAATCAAAGTTTGGACAATTATTACCAAATAAAAACGAATAAGCTACTGTAGCTACAGTGGCCGCAGAATCTGGCGGCGCCGAGTTGGTGTACCAACTAAACGTGGCCTAGGCTTATATGCCAGGCATATATTAATAGAGAAGAAATAGTTCATAATAAAAATAAAACAAAAAACAAACAACCACTACTGGATTCAGCCGCTTTGCCGGGTGCCGAATACACCCGGCAAAGGCTACTTTGCACTCGGCAAAGCTTTTGCCGGGTGCAGCACTCGGCAAAGAGTTAGTCGGCAAAGATTTCTTTGTCGGGTGTATTTTATCGGGCATCCGACAAAGACTTTGTCGAGTGCAAACCCGGCACCCGGCACCCGGCAAAGAAAAATGGTCGCTACGGCGTCAGCTCCGTCATCCCTTGCTTTGTCGGGTGCCATGTCAGAGACACCCGACAAAGATTTTTTCAATTTTTTTTTCAAATTTTCTTTGCCGGGTGCCGTGCCGGAGAGGCACCCGGCAAAGATTTTTTTATTTTTTTTATAATTTCTTTGCGGGTGTTATCGACTGCTGGGGCACCCGACAAAGTTTTTTTTTTTTTTAATTTCTTTGCGGGTGCCGGTCATGGGGCACCCGACAAAGAATTTTTTTGAAAAAAAACTTTGCCGGGTGCCCTCAGCCTGCACTTTCTCGCCAAAACTTCACTTTTGCTTGAAGTGCCAAGGCGAGCTTGCCCGACAAAGCCTCAATTTTTTTTTGTTTTTCATTCTATAATCACAAACACATCATATAAAAGATATATATCACATCTGAAGCATCACAAAGACAATATAACACATATATATCACATCCATCTCATCACAAACTCAATCCCACACATATATATCACATCGCGAATACAATACCTCACATACACGACATCACAAACATAATAGGTCAAATTACCATCGAAACAAGTCGATAGTGGATCACAGTGCATCACATGTCCATCAAGCGATGAAAAAGAGATACAAACTAAAGGTGGGGAGGAAACTGAGTGCCTGGTAAAGGAAACCCGGCACCGCCTGCTTGCGTCTGAGATGGGTTATTCGAACCACTGACGGAGGAGGTGCATAAAGGACAAGAGATTCGAGGACGCTTAGAGTGGGTCATCTAATGAAAGCACTAGTCGAAGCAATATGGATTCATACTCACCGGACTAGCTACTGGCTGGCGGCGACGCCGGAATTTAACATCGGCCGCAGTACACAGTTCACTTGCCCAAAGTTCTGCAAGAACATCGTAATCTCCGCCACCTGCTTGGCATGTCTCTCCCGCTCAGCCCGCTCGGCTTGTCTTTCCCGCTCGGCCACCTCGGTCCTCGCCACCTGGTCCCGCAGCTCCTGAGCCATCCTCTCGTTCTCGGCCTGC